AACTACATATGTAGTTCAGTGACATCACCAACTAGTCCAGTGATTTCAGCTAAGATGGATTCCCATATCCCTCTAACATTCTAAATAGTCAAAATAATGTCTACAATGAAATGAAGAATGTGTCTATCATGACAGTCAAAGTGTTAGACAGTCATCCAAGTCACTGCTCTGTGTATAATTGGCACATTGTTATCTAAACTCAGTTCATCTTCAATCATTTGTGTGTGCTGATCTGCAATCAAAGCATTCTCACTATTTAATAACTTGTAAGTTTATTTACTCACACCAGCCTCCAATATGAAAACGTGGTGTGTGGTTGTTACAGACAATTACACACACCATAGCGACCCCAGTGCTCTGTACTAAACCTAATCAGGTGGAAGAGCTGAGCAAGGAGCCATCTGTGGAATGTAAACAAAGAACTAATCTGAACCAAACGAGTCTGTTGATGAATAGTAGATGAACTGGTTTAAATCTTTAATCGATGAACTGGGTTAAGCACAGAAAATTGATGCTGTTTTTTTTTTTCAAAAAAAAAATTGTATTTTTTTTACATTTCAGTTTACAGTGTAAAATTCATAGAAGCCAATATAGATGTCGGAATTAGACATAGCATTGTGGGACATATTTGAATTACTAGAATGCATTGTTAGGTAGACCTATGACTTTGTTTTGCCGACCAGTAGGTAGTACTGGTTCAGAATAGAGACACTCCATGAAGTTTCAATGCAGGACTGTTTACCGGCCTATCTACTTATCCGTACATTGAAAAGACCACATCAAAGTACCACCAAAATATCGGCACAACATGCCTAGTCATCGTCATGTTTGAATTAAGAGATAAATTTGTTGGAAATAATGTTTCCCCTGGTGTGTATGTTTCGCATGACTGGACCGTGTTATTACTTCCAAGGGGCCGATCTCTTAGGATCGGATTTAGTCAGCTGGATGCATCATTGCTTCCCATGCACCATTTGACTGGATGCCATTCTAACCTCATTTTCATCTGAAAGATGAAGACAAAGACATCAATTTGTTATTTTAGACTGATCGGCCTTTTTGAATTAGCCCAATATGTTCCTTATAACATCTTTGTGTCTCTTTAGTTATGCTTACAGTTATTATGAAACCTTAATTTGTGGCTAACTTTCAATTGTTTCCTTATATGGCATCCAGTTGTCTAGTATCTCCTTATATGGCATCCAGTTGTCTAGTATCTCCTTATATGGCATCCAGTTGTCTAGTATCTCCTTATATGGCATCCAATTGTCTTTAGTATCTCCTTATATGGCATCCAGTTGTCTAGTATCTCCTTATATGGCATCCAGTTGTCTAGTATCTCCTTATATGGCATCCAATTGTCTTTAATATTTCCTTATATGGAATCCAATTGTCTTTAATATCTCCTTATATGGCATCCAGTTGTCTCTAATATCTCCTTATATAGAATCTAATTGTCTCTAATATCTTTTTATATGGAACCCAATTGTCTCTAATATTTCCTTATATGGAATCCAATTGTCTTTAGTATCTCCTTATATGGCATCCAATTGTCTTTAGTATCTCCTTATATGGCATCCAATTGTCTTTAGTATCTCCTTATATGGCATCCAATTGTCTTTAGTATCTTTTTATATGGAATCCAATTGTCTCTAATATTTCCTTATATATAATCCAATTGTCTTTAGTATCTCCTTATATGGCATCCAATTATCTTTAGTATCTCCTTATATGGCATCCATTTGTCTTTAGTATCTCCTTATATGGCATCCAATTGTCTTTAGTATCTCCTTATATGGCATCCAATTGTCTTTAATATCTCCTTATATGGCATCCAATTGTCTTTAGTATCTCCTTATATGGCATCCAATTGTCTTTAGTATCTCCTTATATGGCATCCAATTGTCTTTAGTATCTCCTTATATGGCATCCAATTGTCTTTAGGTATCTCCTTATATGGCATCCAATTGTCTCTGGTATCTCCTTATATGGCATCCAATTGTCTTTAGTATCTCCTTATATGGCATCAAATTGTCTCTGGTATCTCCTTATATGGCATCCAATTGTCTTTAGTATCTCCTTATATGGCATCCAATTGTCTGTAGTATCTCCTTATATGGCATCCAATTGTCTCTGGTATCTCCTTATATGGCATCCAATTGTCTCTGGTATCTCCTTATATGGCATCCAATTGTCTCTGGTATCTCCTTATATGGCATCCAATTGTCTTTAGTATCTCCTTATATGGCATCCAATTGTCTTTAGTATCTACATATATGGCATCCAATTGTCTCTGGTATCTCCTTATATGGCATCCAATTGTCTCTGGTATCTCCTTATATGGCATCCAATTGTCTCTGGTATATCCTTATATGGCATCCAATTGTCTCTGGTATCTCCTTATATGGCATCCAATTGTCTCTGGTATCTCCTTATATGGCATCCAATTGTCTCTGGTATCTCCTTATATGGCATCCAATTGTCTTTAGTACATGTATCTTTGTATTTGGGATTCATAACAATACATGTAAACAATAAAGTGTATTAGAAGTAATTCATTCATTCTCTTCTCTCTCTTTTAGTTTTAAAAGATGAATTTCGAATAGAACCAATAGACACAGTGGCAGCTGTTGGAGAAACTGCCATCATGGAGTGTGCTCCACCTAGAGGATATCCTGAGCCAACTGCACAATGGGAAAAGGACGGAGAAATAATAGTTCCGGATAATGACAGGGTACAGATTTTGGTGGAAGGAAATCTTGTATTTTCAGAGGTAAGATATGACTGATTTACCAACATTTGTAACTTTTTCGTCATCGGCAAAATATGGCCGTCAGTTTATCGATGTTTTCGTCTGATCCATTAAGTAATGCACGGTATCTTAGTAAATTAATTGATTCAGAAATGAATTCAAAACAAACTTATAAAACAAGGATAATTGTAATAATCAAAATATAATGACAACACAAAGTATGGCTGCAAGTTTGTTTGTTTTTTCCAAAAACCTTTATCTGAAAAGTAAACTTTACAAAATGTACCTGGGAAAAAAACAAAAGTTGATTTTTTGAAATAACGTTGGGTGGTAAAATGTAATTTCAAAATTTATATCAGAAAAAATTTTATTCTTTTTTGAATCATTTCAATTTTTGGAATAATGTAGGGTCAAAAAGTTAAGTTCTTTGGAACTTCGGTGATAATGAATCCAATATGTAACGCTGATTAGTTTGTATATGAACGTGTGTGGAAACAATTCCAATCAAGGGATCTTGATGTTCCAAGATGTGGAATTTCTACATGGGCAAAAACATAATGTCGCTTTGTAGCCATGTGGGAAAATAGTTCATTAATAATTAGAAACTTGGACTTGATTTTAACAGGAATGTTAATTAACAACGGCATTAGTCGCTATATTTGGGGTGCACTTTGAACTTTCGGCTATCGTTGAATTATTATTATTTTTAATGTCATGGTTTGTTCATTTTGATGGTACATTCTGTTTCTGGACTGATACCATAGATGGCTTTAGAATTCTCTTAATTGATAAATTATGACGTTGATTTCAGGTGCGGAGAGAAGATGGCGGCACATTTGTATGTATAGGTGTAAATATGGTAGGCTCCATAAGAGGTCGCGAAGCAACACTTGTAGTGAGAGGTAAGCTGGAATCAAATGACTTTGGCAAAAACCATTATTTGGGGGAAGGGTGACAAAGTTCGATTTGAAATTTGGAAGAATTCATGGTAGATAGAGGTAAGGTGGGAATCAAATGAATTTGGGAAAGACCATTATTTAGATGTGTGGGTTGAGGTGTGGAAGCAACAGTGGTAGTTAGAGTCAAAATGGGAATCAAATGACTTTAGGAAAGACCATTAACGGGTGGGGTCATTAGATGTCTAAAAGCGACACTGGTAATCAGAAAAACAAGAATAAAAGTGAGAATCGAATGGGCAAATGGATGTTAATCATTACTGTGGGGTAAGGTAGACTTAACCAATTAATTTGAAATTAAAATATACCCTGCTTCAAAAATCATGTGGCCTGTATTTATTCAGATGCGCAGAAGTTAGCTCAATTTTGGAGATTCTTCTGGCAGAATTAGGTAATATTAAAGACTATGACAAGGTTCCAATTTACTGCAAAAAACTTGACTTACTGCATGTTGTATAGCTAACTGTCCATACCTAGACGGGTTTCATGTTCTCTGCACGTAATAAACTCGGTTATTGAGCATCCTTTTTTGGGGATGCCCGGTGGCCGAGGGGAAGACGTGTAGTGGCATGAAGCTAGGCGATTAGGTGCCGTACGCGAGCGCCGGTTCGAGTCACGCACGCAGTACGTGTTTACTATAATTAGACGTAGTATTTACCTTGCCGATTATTCGGTGTTATTTGCTTACATACCTAGATTAATTAAGTTGTTCTACATCTTTGCTATTGATTGTGAAACGGTTTATATTACAACGAAAATTGCTTTATTCAGACCAGTCACTAACAATCAATCTTTCTTGTTGAAGCACGATTTCATTGTAAATAAACATTTTAAACATTATCGTTAGATTCCCTCTGCAAACATTGTTTACACTTATTGACGTACTAGGTATTAGCAGGTTAATAATGTTTATTCTTTTTTAACTGAATTGTCATTCACATGTAAATGAAATAACATATACTCTATATGACAATGTCCAATTTGTAAATTTTTTTGTTTATTAATGCAAAATATTTCAAGACTCACCAGGTTGGTCTGATTTGCTCTTTTTTGTATTTCTAGAAAAACCAACATTCCTAGTGTCACCGCAGGATGTGACAGCCGTGGTGGCCGATAATGTGGAATTCCATTGTAGTGTTACGGGTGATCCACAGCCCACTGTACGATGGGGGAGGGAAAACGGCCAACTACCGCAAGGAAGGTAAGTTTTTCAAGATTATTTTGAACCTCCCATTATAACTTTGCTGTAAGATTTTTAATTTAGAGTTGCAATACAAATCAATTTTTAGTATTTATTTTTCATTTTTACATATTTCTCCCATAATAAAATTGACTAATTACGCAAAATGTAATTTTGAAAATTTGTTGAAAATAAAAATAAAAGCAACAACATTTTTTGGCATGTCAGCTATAAAATGACTGTTGTTTATTCATGTGATAAAAAAAAACTTTTTTTTTAAACTGCGGTGGTTGTCGCACCCCGCATGCACAAGATATGAGTCTCATATAAACAAAGATGGCGACTTTGACTGTTGCACAGACCAATGAGTACAAACTGAGATGTTACTGAGCTTTAATTTGGTAATTTTGGTTCTTGGAACGTATCGAAGAAGTCACCGGGGGTAAATCAGTGCAGGGCAAAGCATGTACTTGGATTATGGGGGGAATCAATGTTTATCAACACAAATGTTGCACATGCACGACATGACAACCACCCTTTAAGGGTGATGGTTTTGTTTGGTATACATTAAAAGTTTCTGTAAGCACGTGTTGTGTTTTATGTAACACTATATCAGAAACTACGCAGTGTGGCAAGCAGTGGTGCTCTAACAAATTTAAAATATTTCTTCGCAGGTTTCAAATATTAGATGACTACACACTCAGGATACGTCACATTTCAATTGATGATGAGGGGACTTACATTTGTATTGGAGAAAACATGGTAGGAGAGAGTCATGCAAGTGCAGAACTCAGTATACATGGTAAGGGCGCCCTCTGTGGTCAGTGTTGACTACTTTTGTTTTTTTACACATAAATGTTTAGGGAGTTGACATTTTATTACTCATCCTGAAATTGGATAGCTTTTACTGCAAAAACAACTTTTATTTAAACTATTGTGAACTCACTTGCAGTTTAGGGCCACCTAGTGTTGATTCAGGATGCTACATTGTTTTTATTGCAACTTATTTTCTTTCATCTTTCATGCAATGTTTGTTTGATAATGATTGCTGCTTGTCTTCAGTGTCTAAATGTTCAGTGTCAATTTATTTTAGATGAGCCAGCATTCACAACAGTACCAAGAGATAGGGTAGTGGCAGTGAACAGAATGGCAACTTTTGAGTGTGTTGCCACTGGCAACCCACAACCAGCTATATTCTGGCAGAAAGATGGGCAACAGGTATGATATAAACCATTATATCATGAATGGGTAGATGGATATTCATTCTGACGGGGGAATTCTTGTGGGTATAATTTCTGTCAAAACATTTAGAGTTTTGTTGTTTAATAAATAAATTCATGAATATTTGATTTATTTAACGTTTGTCTACATTTCTTGCCGTTCCCCAGGAACTGCTATTTCCTGGACAAGTACAAGGTCGGTTCGCAGTTACTCAGGACGGGGAGTTACAGATATCGCAAGTGAGACGCGAAGACGAGGGTTACTATACATGCTCTGCTCTCAGTGTAGCTGGGACGTCAACTGTAAAAGCACACCTTAGAGTAACAGGTTAGTTTACAAATAAATGAATATACACTGTATCAACAGTGAAACATTCACCTTAGTGTTGTGGTTGTTACATCAGGACTCTTGAGCCTTTGTTCAAGTATACATAGGGATTGAACACCTAAAAAGGGGTGATTCCCCTACCCTAGGGTGAGTGTGTCACAAACTCAATAATGAGGCAAATTCATTAACTGACGGATCAGATTTTGGAAGAACCTTAGATTTAATCCACAGGATGTGTTTGTTCAACGGCTTAGCTTTAAGATATCACATTAAATTGTCATAATGGCATTGTGATAGGAAGATTGTCAGCACTGTCACATAGTACCAAATATGGAACATGATTTCTATGGCAAAATATATTATTCTCGGAACGGACATCCTGGCCAGTTAACCACCTAGTCAACCATCATGGTGAAAACAAAGGCTGAAAACTCTCAGAAAACTGTACTTTGGGGTTGTTGTTAAGACTGAACAGTGTAATGAGATTACCCAAATATGTAAAACTCAGGATTACTTCAAAATGATTGAATATTGAGATAGTGTGGTTTCTTCGACTTCAGCTGTTTTCACCATTCTACTGCAGCTTACACAGTGCCCATAGAAATACATGGTACAGTGGTGCACGTCTGAGCAGCGTACAACGTTCTGTGACGTAGCTCGGCATTGAGCTGTAACTGCAAAAAGTTAATAACAAAAACCTTCACTAACAAAATAACTTTCAGATTTGGAGACATTCATCGTGATCTGGGATAGTTCAAATATTTGTTTGTTTGTTTTTCAGTATTAACAGATCGACCTCCTCCAATTGTTAGACTGGGACCGTCCAACCAGACGTTAGCTGTAGGCGGCATTGCAATGTTACCGTGCCAAGCATCGGGCAATCCATCACCAACCATCCGATGGATGAAGGATAACTTCATGTTGCTAGGCAACCCAAGGTAATATATGAATACATTAAAGTGATTTAAATATGTACATCAAAGAAAATTTTTTTATATTTTTAAAATTTAAGTAAAATTTTACTTATTTTTATTGCTTTTCAAAAATTAATATTAAATTTATGTTTTAAAAACCCACAACCTTTCTGATGCTTGATATGCATTATTAAAATTTTTTTTTTTTATAAAAGAATATATTTCAACTGATCTGCAAAATATTTATATCGTTGTTTGTTTGTTTGTTTGTAGGATTGCTCTTCTTGACTCAGGTACACTTCAGATTTCTGATTTGAGAGTGGCCGATACTGGTATGTATACATGCATAGCATCAAGTGACAGTGGTGAGACATTATGGAGTGCATCTTTGCTGGTTATAGGTAGGTGGCAAACTTATCATAGTACAATGATACTAATAAAACAAATTTAGATTTTCAATTTCTGGGAGAATAATAATAAACTTATGAATCACTTTCAAATTAAATACATTTCTGTTTCTTACTTAGAACCAACAGAGTCGACAACCTCGCAGTTGCACCGAACACCGGAACCGTCATCATTTCCTGGCCCTCCGTCCCGACCCGTTGCCAGTAATATAACCGGTACATCCGTCAGACTGACCTGGAGACAAAACTCTAATTCTGGAACTTCACAAGTTACCAGTTT